CCTGCACCACACCCGTAACAGCAGGACTATCAATTTATTTATAGGCCTATTCAGTAAAATTTTCTATTGACTATATAGGGCTTATACTTTATTTATTAAAATTAAACTGCATGTGTCCATTGATTGTGAAGTTTCACATCGAAAATTGCAGATCAAGCGCATGGGCTGCATGTTTTTTCTTGTTATGAATTGTATCCTATTTTCCGTTATTACAGTTAACTATGCGAAGTGATATGGAACTGTAATGCGGTCAAGAAGACCTGCCTGGAACTACGTTAGCCGTGCGTTTCCCTGAAAATAATTGCACACCTTAGAACGTTGTCAACCAATCAGAATCAAGCATTCAACAGCCCTGTAGTATAAGTTACAGTAATAACTTTGACTGTATCATTAAACAATATACTTTATACTATGGTATAGGCCTACCGTTGTATACGTTCAAAGTTACTTTTAGCCTACTAGCTAATTTTAGCCAAACTCAGTAACTTTCAGTTGACAATGTGGGCATCATTTCTTTCGGTTCATTCATGTCACACAAGTAAAACTCAAGCACGTTAATCTAATACAAAATGTACTTACCCAACAGTAGATTTGTAATAATATCGTCGACACAACTCCCTCCTCGTAGTTGTTCAAAGTTCCAAAATCGATGGGGAGAACGCGTTAGTTAACATCTCGCGAGATAATCTCATCGCAGGATTTTGTAATATGCGAGATCTTTTGTTACTACATCTTGGCAGCACAGTTTATGGTTTGGGCAATTACATCCAACTCAGACATAAATGGTGACCGGGTATATTTCTGTTTTACATGTATATGCATACATTCCATAAAAAATAACAACGAATACATGATCAGGTAGGCTACAACAGGTTGAAATAATGACTAAAATGCAGTGGCTTTGCAATCACTTAACCATGGGCACTTTGTGATTTATAATTTATTTAAACAAGATAAAGTAAATATATTTACTTTGTATACAAATCATGTATTTCATAAAGATAATTCGTGAAAAAAAATTCTGTCTTGCTAGACTAAACGTGCAGAAGTCGTCAGTTGACGTCTATTATTCACAGCCTGACTAGACGTGTAAAGGACGTCAGTGGACGTCTTCACAACCTCTTAAAAACTACTCGTGCAATTCAATTAATTATTGCAGTATTAACCATGCAAGGATTAAGCACAGCTTTTGCCTATTTCACAAGGATTTCATAGAGGGTCGTGATGGACTATAAATGCACGTGGAAAAGACGTCGCCAGGTGACGTCCTCTCACCCGATACAATATATTGAACTACTTAGCTACAAGTTAAAATAACAATTATACATGCAACTGTAGACATGTACAAATGTATCTGAATGCGTTTTTAGGAAATGGTTCTGTGTTGCATATTTTTACCGATTTATGACGTCCTGGCTGCAACTATTTTTGGCCAGGGACACGACGTTGCCGTCGGACCAATGTTTGCTGGGTATAGTCTGAAAATTCATACGAGTTCTATATTATCAGAAAAAGAATTATATAACACTAAACAACTTACTCCGAACTTGTATCCTCTAAGTTCGTCATCTAAGTTGCAATCTTCCTCTGAGGAAAAGGTGAACTCTTCCTCGCTGTGGAGTAGCGTGCGTTTACCGGAGTACTAGCGTGACATCATCAAAACGCGATGAACCATCAGTGAATCTGTTGAAGAACTTCGTGTTTGTATGGCATTGATCGGGGGCGTGTGCCATGCGCACATATATACCTTTGTATTTTTCCTCCGTCCATACAGACGTCGAGACGAATATTTTAATTTTTTAATTCAATGTGCTCCTCACCATTATCTAAAACCTACCATTTTTTAATTTTCACAGACCCCTATTAGAAACAGCCCTTATTTATTTAGCCCGGGTTGTGGTGTCCCGTGTGGTTTGGTTTTTTAGCTGGGACAAAAGGTAATAAATCAGAATTGGGCATCAAGACCTGCAGTGAATTTTCAGAAAAATAAAAAAAATTACTTTTTAAATGTATTAATTTAAACTAATTAGTTTTTTTTTTTGTTTAGAGCTTTATTAATCCCCGTGGGGCAATTAATTTGAGCTTACATGGTGCCTCACATAAAACACTTAGCACATACATTCAGATACATAAATTAAAAACATTTAAAAAATCACCTATTACATAGACGTACTGCTTCAGGCACGAAAGTACATTTGTAGCGATTTGTAGAACATCTAATTGCCCTTAGACTCAGTCGTCCCAGGGGCATCCGCTCAAAGTCCAAATGCAGCGGGTGTGTACTATCTCCTATTATTTTATGAGCCATCCTCAGCACCTGCTGTTCATAATAAGATGTAAGGCTTTGTAAGGGAACACACATAATTTTAGAGCACATATTAACAATGCCCTGCATTTTGTTCTTTGTAGATAATGATGAAAACCAACAAATAAAAGAAAAAGACAGGATACTTTCAACAAATGAATTATAAAATGACTTAAGAACAACTCTGTACATTAAAAGAATTAAGCTTTCTCAACACAAACAGTCTTTGGTGTGACTTTTTGACAATTGCATCAGAATTTTGGTCAAACTTTAACTTATTATCAAAAACCGTTCCCAGGTACTTATATTGCTCTACTTCCTCCACATGTGTACCATTAATGACAATAGGTTGAAGTGCCAATGTTCTCCTACTAAAATTAATTATCATCTCTTTAGTTTTTGAGACATTCAGATCTAATTTCATACTCACTACACCAAGAAATGAAATTGTACAAAACAGGACCATATTCCTGTTTTGTACAATAATCCATAATTATTAGGCTATATCATTTTTTACCACTCTCCGCACCTCCTGGCATGCTTCACACATCTAGTGCTTAACTCTCTCAACAGCTGCTGCTTCTGTGCGTTTTCTACTGTTACATCTGTATTAATAACTGATATTCATCAGTACAGTGAATCTGGAACCTGGAACACTCGTGTTGAGGCTCTTGACTGCATCGTCCAGTCATTCGGGGTTGCTTGTGTTGCCATGACATGTTTAGCCTCAATGAGCCGCAGCGCAATAGAGAATAAAGCTATGAAGAAATATTTCAAAGAAAATATTTAGAAGATTGTATGTAGAAGATTTGCTAGTGTATCAATGTCTGTACGTTAGTGATTTAATACACAGTGTTTCCCCTACCATTGTTTTAGGGGGGGCGGCCCGCCCCCCCAAAACGACCCCCCGCCCCCCTAAATTGCTGACGAAATCCAGTCATAAAAAAGAAATTTACTGTATAACGCGGAATTTCATGGAATTTGTCAATCTTTTGAGGAATAAATAGAAAGCAGTTCAGTATACACTTGAAATCAAATCGCGATGTAGACAAGTGTATGTGGATATTAAACCACAAAGACAATTTAAATACGAATCCTGCTTGTTCTGTGTGAATGAATGGTGCCGCCGACGCGCAGTTTCATTTACCACACACACACACACTGAAGCACGTGTGACGCTTGCGCTGTTTTTTGGCCTATATGAAGACACAAACGCATAAACTTCCTCTCCAGGCTCTAGATCCACTCCGAAAGTCACTTCGTGATCATTTAACCGCTTCATTTGAGAAAAACTATCATTATGACAAACACACAAACTCAAAAGGTCTTCACGGCAACCCGTCAAAATAAAAGTTCGGTTTAACTTGACAGAGATATATTACCGTTGTACAGTAGAATTTAGATATGTCCCAATGTAATAATACACTAACACTAATCCAAATAAATTATCATCAAAACTGAATTTAAGGAATAATCCATGTTTTAATTTTAACAGTAGGCTAAAGCTCATTGTGCAGCACGTTATTTGACAAAAAGTTTATTTAATTTCATATGATTAAAATTGATGATAAATGATCAAATTTGTGTTTTATGTCTTCATTTTATTACCAGAAAAAACACAACACAGAATTAGTGTGAAATTTATTTTTTTTTTTTTTTAAATGTTGTATACGTTTAATAATTCATAATACACTATCAATTAATTAGACATGCTTTTTGATTGCTAAAAAATTTACACCACGTATCCGTAACACGCCCGCTCAGCAACACTAGCAGTCCCCCCCCCCCTGAAAAAAAAATCCTAGGGGAAACACTGATACAACTTCTGTGTCCTTGACATGTCATTATATTTTTTATATAACTTTTAGGCTTCTTTTATGAAGTAATTTGTAGCTATTCTTAATTTGTGGTAAGATGTCAATTATGTAGAAATTATGTATTGTTTTATTTTGTGTATGTATTGCCAATCCTTTGCCAATGTTCTAATGTTATTGTTATTCGAGGATTAATAAAAATAAAATAAAAATGAAACCCCGCACAGTAGGGGGCGCAATGAGCCTACAACCTCTATTTGTTAGCCGCCAGTAAACGCATAAAAGAAACGCGGATAAACATCAAAATACAATAAATTAAAAAAAGAGAACCCAGTGTCTGGAGTTTTTTCCTATGGTCAGAGGAAAGGCCTCGAGGTCTCCTTCAGCGGTGAGGGCCACACCGGACCGGCGCTCTCTCCCAGCTCACACATCTAGTGATGAACTCTCCTCGACAGTCTAAGCTAGAAAGCTAGAATCCCTGCGCCTCCTGGACAGCGATACGGGGAGTTCAGGCCAAATACTCTATTACTGTTAAAACTTGTTAACTGGCTGTTGGCATTTGTGGACATTTATGGACATCTGGGTGTGCTTTGTGAATTTGCTGAAGGAACCATTATAATTTTCTATTACCATCATTTGGTGCTTCAAAGCACAAATTATAAAAAAAAAAAAAAAAAAAAGTATAAACAGATTTTTTCACAAATATTTTATTTTGGAGAATCTGGTCCTCCATCTGAAAATTAAATTGAAACAGAAACAAGTGAATGAATTTGCACAGCAGAAGATGAATCATATCACAGGATGAACAAACATCCTGTTTCTGAGTATAAAAGACTCTGCTGAATGAAATTAATATTCTTAATGATAATAATAACCTTGCTTTATGATAAGCTGCTAGGGTCCTGGAGCGGTTGGGGGCCCGGGTCCTGCTTGGGGTCCAGGAGCGGTTGGGGGCCCGGGTCCTGCTTGGGGTCCAGGAGCGGTTGGGGGCCCGGGTCCTGCTTGGGGGCCCGGGAGCTGTTGGGGGCCTGGGTCCTGCTTGGGGGCCCGGGAGCTGTTGGGGGCCCGGGTCCTGCTTGGGGGCCCGGGTCCTGCTTGGGGGCCCGGGAGCTGTGTGGGGCCCGGGAGCTGTGTGGGGCCCGGGAGCTGTGTGGGGCCCTGCTTCTGCTTGGGGCCCGGGAGCTGCTTGGGGGCCCGGGAGCTGTGTGGGGCCCGGGAGCTGTGTGGGGCCCGGGAGCTGTGTGGGGCCCGGGAGCTGCTTGGGGCCCGGGTGCTGCTTGGGGCCCGGGTGCTGCTTGGGGCCCGGGTGCTGCTTGGGGCCCGGGTGCTGCTTGGGGCCCGGGTGCTGCTTGGGGCCCGGGAGCTGCTTGGGGCCCGGGAGCTGTTGGGGGCCTGGGTCCTGCTTGGGGGCCCGGGAGCTGCTGGGGCTGTGTGGGGTCCTGCTTCTGCTTCTGCATGGGGCCCGGGAGCTGTTGGGGCTGTGTGGGGTCCTGCTTCTGCTTCTGCTTGGTGCCCGGGTCCTGCTTGGGGGCCTGGGAGCTGTTGGGGTCCGGGGGCCCAGGTGCTGCGGACATCATAGATCTATGATTTCAGATTTTAACCTAGATATGGTGTGTTTGACGAAACTTACCAATTCACAAAATTAAAGGTGGGGTATGTGATTCTCTTTTTTGTCCATTTTTTCAAAATCACTTGAAATCCTATTCCTAACCCACTTACAGCCACTGAGTTAGGAACCTGTGTGTGTGTGTGTGTGTGCTCTTTGATACCAATCTTTCATTTGAAAGTCACGTGTCTAGTATCTGTAAAACCGCATTTTTCCATCTTAAAAATATATCCAAATTACGACATATGCTCTCATTGACAAATATGGAACAATTAGTTCATGACATCAAGACTAGATTATTGTAATGCTCTACTGGGTGGTTGCCCTGCACGCTTAATAAACAAACTACAGCTGGTCCAAAACGCAGCCGCTCGAGTTCTTACCAGAACCAGGAAGTATGACCATATTAGCCCGGTTCTGTCAACACTGCATTGGCTGCCTATTAAACATTGTATTCATTTTAAAATATTGTTGATTACTTACAAAGCACTAAATGGTTTAGCTCCGCAGTACTTGAGCGAGCTCTTAACGCATTATAGTCCGTCACGTCTATTGCGATCTCAAAATTCCGGCCAGTTGATAATACCTAGAACAGGGGTCGGCAAGTAAAGTTGGCATCGGGCCAAAAAATATTTTTGACACTAGATGGCGGGCCAGAACATAGTCAATGGATAATTTAAGAAATTAATTGATGAAAAATGAAACTAGAATTGCCTGTGACAGACTGTTACAGTGTCTTTTGTCACTGGTAGTGAGCTGTTACTCTGTGTTAAATCCTGAATATTTGATTTATTGATTTAATTATAGAATATCGAATGGGTTGTGCGATTGTCTAAAAAAATCCCGATGTTTTCGGTGCTGATGTAACCAGAGGGTGACGCTGCCAATAACGCAAAAGCTGTCACAAGGAACCGGCAAAAGTAATGATTATGAATGTTTCAAATATAGCAAGGAGACATTATAATTGTTCATTAGTGTCTGTGTCGGCTGCAATATAGTGACCGCGGTAGCGCGCCTATAGAGAGAAATGCACTTTTCATATGGATTATATAAGCAGAGAGTAGGATAGGTTTCTTTTCGTTTTGAATTGTTTAGTTTAAAATTAGATATTGTTAAGCTTTCTATATATTTTTTTGTGTCTGTGAGGCAGCTTAAACGCTGAGTTCCGGCTCATTTATGAAGAGATCCAGTTCACGAGCAATGCAATCTTGCCGGCGCCTCCATGTCCTGATTATATTGTCTGCTATATTTGTTTCTTATTTATTAAATCCAGGCAATTGGTTGATAAAACATTGATTAAAAATAAGATACAAAACAAAATTTTCAATTTTTCAATTTTCAGAAAGGCTTTCTACAAAACAAAACTTAATGAAGTGGTCAGAATCATGTCTGACCCACATGTCTCCCGATATTGCGGCATCGTGCAACACATCCCGCCTTGCCAAAACACACATGTGGGAGATGCGGAATGGATAAAAATAACTAAAAAAATAGAGGACTTAAATAAGCCCATTAATGGCATTTTTGAGTCATGCTCTTAACAAACTATGTTTTATTTCCTCTTTCCATATTGTGAATAATAAATGTGTATAAGTTTAATTTGCTTTTTACACAATGGAGTCTAACTTATTGTAATAATTATTTGACGTATAGACTACTTTTAAACTTAGAATTATTCCTTGGCATCCTTGCATACTAAACTGCTTTTTTTTTATTGTTTGCGGGCTGGGGGTACGCTATTATATCGTGTGTAGTGATGTTAACATTTAAGCTAGCTGATGAGAGAAAATGGCACTATCAGAGTCTAAAGAGGAAAGTTGACAGCGAAAATAGCCATCCAAAGAATAATGAAAAGACAACTATGCGTGTCTAGTTTTGTAAATCACACGATCACACTAAATGCGTCTCTATAGCACGCAGTGTTTATCGTGCAATTTAAATGAGTTTTTACGTGCATATGATACGCATGGGTAGGTTTAGTAGTGGTGTGGGGTGCGTGTGTATTACACGCAATAAAGTGCGTATCAAATGCACGCGAAAAACTGCTTATCATATGCACGTAAAAACTCATTGTCGCGTTTAAATTGCACGATAAACAACGCGTGCTATAGAGACGCATTTAATATAATATTAGACATTTCATGACGGTTATTTTAGAGGTGTGTCTAGCGAGCCACAGACTCTTTTGAATGTCTTTCAGAACTTTTCAGGCTGTGGCGCGGGCCAGATATTATTGCTGGCGGGCCAGTTTTGGCCCGTGGGCCCCCTGTTGCCGACCCCTGACCTAGAATATCAAAATCGACTGCTGGCGGTAGATCCTTTTCCTATTTAGCACCAAAACTCTGGAACAGTCTTCCTACCATTGTCCAGGAAGCAGACACACTCTGTCAGTTCAAAGCTAGACTAAAAACACATCTCTTTGACCTAGCATACACATAATACATTATAGACTTCTATAACTCAATGTTAGGCTGCATAGATTAGGTCAGCCGGAACTGGGAACACTTCCCTTAAATCCTGATGTACTCGCTACATCATAAGAAGAATGGCATCTACGCTAACTTTAGTGTCTTTGTTTATCCCGAGGTTTTCCCGCAGCCTGCCGGATCCAGGCCGTGTCCAGATCTGACGAAGGAGATTCGCCTGGACCCGATGACAACGCAGTGCTGAAGTGCCAACTATCCTCTCCCTATGGAGGATCCCTTTCCCACTCTACAGATAAAGCGGTGTGAATTCGGTTAGCGTACCCACCCCGAAGTGATAAAATAAAACAAAATTCTGTATCAAATTATAGGCAAGAGAAGTAGTTTAGGCATGGTGTGTAGGGAATTACAAACCTGCGCACATATATTCAAACGCACATAACTATAGAATCAATTCTTAATGCGCGTGTGAACGCCATCAGCGTTTATCACAGGTTCAGTTTAAAGTCTGTTTAGAGAGAACGCCGTCATCTTAGCGGCCCCTAATTTAATAACAAATGATCATTTTGACGGAGGTGAATCAATCAGAACTAACTTTAGCTGGAAATAACATTATTCGAGAATCGCTATAAAGCCAAAACAATCTCTGTTACCTTAAATTATATGTTTGTCTCTGTAACACCGTGTCCTAACTACACGCGACGCCGCGACACGCGATAAAAGGTATCTTTTCCATGTTAATCAGAGTTTTTGTCCTAACCAGACGCGACGGCGACACGCGAAGTTTCTAATTTAGAAACGGTTCCTATTTCTGCGACGTCGCGGCTGACAGATCCGCCCACACAGAGATCTCATTGGATGGAAGTTCTGCGTGTCATGAATATTTAATCATCAAACATGGACGACGAGGAACTGATTGTCGAAGTTCAAAAGCATTCAATTCTCTACGATAAATCCCACATACATCAGAAACAAGCCCTCATTGTGCAGAAAGTGGTTCAGGTCATTGATTATGTCCTTACCCATTTCCAATCCGAGTGCGGGCCAGCAGTGCGCTTTCACAGAGAGACTCCGCCCACACGCTGTTCTGAATGGCTGTGATTTTTGATTGACGTGTGGCGTCTCACAGTCACGTCGCGTCTAGTGTGGACTAGGGGTGTCGCAATATACCGGTATTGACGATAATCGTGATATTCAAAGCTTGAAATATCGACATCGTGTTAATTTAGAGTGTGGCAATATACCGGTATTGGCGATAACCACGATGTTTAAAATAAATAGGACTTTTATGATAACATGACACGTATACTCCAGCGCCAGTTGAGGTGGCAGTATTGCACCCGCTGACATCTATCAAATGAGAAGACGACGCAGCGCGCGCCCGCGCATCAAAGAAAACAGCACATTAAAGGGGGTCGCACACCGGACGAGAAGCGCAGAGAATTCTTTAAAATTCGAACACATTATTTTCTAGGAGTTTACACACACCACCGGCACCATTCGGCGTCTGTCCGCGACGCCCAGCAATGGCTCGGATTTTCAGGTGAGATTTTCAAATCATTCAGTTAATTAACGGATGCGCTCTGACTGAGGTAAAGTGTTCAGAGTGCAGACTTAGCAATGATTGTATTTAATTGTACAGTACAATCATAACATAGTACAGACATGATCTTAATTTCATAATGTCCTTAAACATAACAATATTGCTGGCCATGAACTGAGAAAGTGCGCGTCAGGTGTGCTACACGCGGCGCGGAGCTGCGCTTCTCGTCCGGTGTGCGACCCCCTTAAGCCCAATCTGCAGAATGTGTAGCCACCAACCTTTTTACCCATCTCCGTGTCCATCACCCTGCGGATTACGCTATTTTACAGAGAGTAAATTGCGATTATTTTACTAGTCATGGAATGGGAAATGTGACATTAACCTTACAGCGAGTTTTTGTTTTCAAATAAAGGGTGATTATTAAGTACCCCGTTTTCTTTACTCGTCTTATTTTTGTATTTTTGTATTTGCACTTGATTTGTTTTGTTCAAATATGCATGACTTGCACCGGCGCAACAATAGGTTTAAGAGCTTTTCAGTTCTTCAGGAAACATTCAGACAGTGTTTCGCTCCAGTTTGAAACCAGATATACTTCACATGCTTGTCTTACTTCACAAAAATGTGCATTCAAATATAAGAACGCAAGAAGTAAAAATGCAAAAAAAGAAAAATTAAATAAACAAAGTAAAAATTAATTTGACTGATTTGACATTTTTTCCCCCAAGGTTTCTATAGATATCGCGATATATCGATATCGTGAATTATTTTGGCCACAATAACCGTGGTGTGAAAAATCTAACATCGTGACAGCCCTAGTGTGGACAGACACACTTGCTGTCGCTGGAATTTTATCGCGTCGCGTGTAGTTAGGACACGGTGTTAAGCTGCTTTGAAACAATCCATTGTTAAAAGCGCTATATAAATGAAGATAACTTGACTATTTTTCTTTCTTTCTTTCTTTCTTTCTTTCTTTCTTTCTTTCTTTCTTTCTTTCTTTCTTTC